TATGCAGTACTGTATTTTTATTTTTATTTTAAAAAGCCTTTTTTTTTTTTTTTTAATTGAACTCAGGCCCTTGCGCTTGCCAGGGAAGCGTTTATTCCACTGAACCATCTACCCAGCCCCCTAGCCTTCCATTTGAAGAGACTGTCATAAAGGTTAGCTGGGTTGTGGTATGTTTTCACTAATTTACATTAAGAAAGTACAGTGGTCCCTCACTATTTTGCGGTTCAACTTTTACAAACTCACTGTTTTGTGGGTTTTCAAAAAATATTAATCTAAATTATTTATTGCAGATTTTTTGCTATATCATGGGATTTTGCAGTATCATATAGTATACATATGTTAAAATTATGTAGGTTTGCAAGTTTAGAAAATGGTTATGAATATTAGTGTTTTTAAAAGTGTGGTAGGGGTTTCTGAAGCCTTAAAATATATAAAATACTAAAATAAATATGATGTTGCTACTTAGCTGATTTTCACTTATGGGGATGTCAGGAACATAACCTCCATAAGTGAGGGACCATTGTAGACTGGAATCTAGTAATCAAAAAATAGATCTGTTCCCAACAATTTTTTTTCCCACTTTGTGAGACACAAGTACTAATCACTGACAGAGAATGTCTTTGACTCTTCTTTGTTATCCCTTATGTTGTTTCCTGTAGTTTTTGTGCCATCCCTGTCAAGTAGAAACCGTGGGCCCTTGGTGGAAGAAACCGATGCTAAGGAGATTAACTTGTCCATGGTCCTAATCATAGATTATGTCTATAACTCAAAAACAGCACATTCTCATTCTAGAGCATGTATTAACTGCTACATCATATTCTCTTGAGGTGCATGCTTTGTTGTCTTAATCTGAAAAATGGGTTATTTCAGTCACAGACATGTAGACTGGATAATGCTTGGTGCGGACATCTAAATGTGCCATGGTGTTGACATTACCCAGCCTTTTTTTTTTTTCTTCTTCAAAGTTTTATTGATAAACAGATAGCAATGAGACAGTTTCAAATCAAATCGGAAGTACAGTACCCAGCCTTTTTCTAAATTTTTTTAAAGTTAGTTATTTATTTGGTTGGTTGGTTGGTTGGTTGGTTGGTTGGTTGGTTGGTTGGTTCAGGTTCTCACTGTGCAGCTTGGACTTGTTGTGATCCTCCCATCTCAGCCTCCCCAGCACTGGGATTACAGACATGCACCTCCACACCCAGTTTCAGGGCCAGCACTGTGCCCAGATTCTGGGTCTGGCATGACATGTGGTACCAGGGATTGAAACCAGGTCCTTGCGCTTGCCAGGCAGTCACTTAGATTGTCAGGCTATCTTCCCCAACCCAATTTCATTTAGATTTTTGACACAGCATCTTGCTAAGTTGCAGAATTGCCAGGGCTAGACCCCAACTTGTGATCCTCATGCCTCTCACAGAGTGCTTATACTACGGGCGTGTGTCACCACACCCATTGCATTTGTCACCCTTGCACTAACTTGTTAATTTTGGCTGCTGAGTAGCTTATACATTCAGGGCCCCGTAATTGAAAGCATGGTTCTGTTTTGACACATTCCCCTTTTGTGAATCACTGGTGGTATATGTGTGGCTGTGTCCTCAGCGCCTTGTACAAATGGTTCTAATTTATTTTATTAAATTAATAAAACATCTATAAATTGCCTGAATCTGGTTGCTTTAGTTTGAATAATTACTGCGCAAATAGAAATTCTCATACTGTTCATATAGATTAAAATTACTACAATTATCAACAAATTTATTTCATTAAATTTATATTTGAATTTCTTTAAAACATTTTATGTGTAATGGTAGCTGAATTGTGTAGTGTTTGCAAAATGGCATAATGTGTTCAGCTTTTCTTGGGGGATCTTGCATGATACCACTACTCCAGTGGTGCTGTTTGTTCAGGTTTTTTTGTGGCCACAGTGGCACCCATTTCTTCCAAGGCTTTTTGTTTGATAATGGCTTTTTGAGACTATTGCAGTATAATGTAGGCTGGCCTGGAACTCACAGTGATCTGCCTGCCTCAGCCTCCCAAGTGCTGGGATATCAGGCGTGCACTATGATGTCTGCCAGATAATTTTCTGTAACATTATCCATATGGTTTACGTGCATTTTTATTTAGTTATTTATTTATTTATTTTTTAATGTATTTAATACAGGATCTATGGGGTCTCACTACACAGATCAGACTCTTA